ATTTTTAAAAATTTTTGGATAAACTTTTTGAGATTTGTTTTGCGTCCTAACATACAGTCAGTCAATCCTGGAGAACATTCCATATGCTGATGACAAGAATGTGTACTGTGCAGCTGTTGGATGAAATGTTCTATAAATGTCTGTTAAGTCATTTGGTCTGTGATCTAGTTTAAATTCCATGTTTCTTTGATGATTTTCTGTCTAGATGATTTGTCCTAGGCTAAGAGTGGGTGTTGAAGTCCCCAGCTGTTATTGTATTGGAATCTATATTTGCCTTTAGATCTAATGTTGCTTTATAAATCTGGGTGCTCCAGTGTACATGTGTATTTACAATTGTTATGTCCTCATGTTAAATTGATCCCTTTATAACTATAAAATGACTTTCTTCATCTTTTTTTTACAGTTTCTGACTTAAAGTCTGTTTTATCTGATATAAATATGGCTAATCTTGCCTGACTTTGGTTTCCATTTGCATTGAATATCTTGTTTCATTTCTTCACCTTCAGTCTGTATGTATCTTTACAGGTGAAGGAAGTTTCATGTAGGCAGCATATAGTTGGGTCATTTAAAAGAAAAATCCATTCAGCCAGTCCATATCTTTTAAGTAGGGAATTTAATCTATTTACATTTAAGGTTATTAGTGATAGGTGAAGACTTACTCCTGTCAATTTGTTACATGTTTTCTGGTTGTTTTGTATATCATTTGCTCCTTACTTCTTCTCTTATTGTTTATTTTTGCAGTTGAGTGATTTTCTGTAGTGATAAGATTTTTTTGCTTTCTCTTTCTCCTTTGTGTATCAGCGCTACCAGGGAGTTTTATAGTTTTGCATGTTTGCATGATGGTGGCTATCGTCTTTTCATTTCTATATATAAGTCCCTTGAGCATTTTTTGTAAGGCCAATCTAGTGATGAATTTCCTTAGTTTTGGTTTATCTGGAAAAGATTTTGATCTTAAGAATTTTCTTAAGATTATTATTTTAAATTCTTTTTCTGACATTTTATATATTTTCTTATTATTGATGTTTGTTACTGGAGAATTATTGTTTTCTTTTGGAAGTGTCATGTGTCCTGTGGTCCTATGTTGAGTTCTATGCATCTAATGGAAAAAATGCCTCTTCCTATTTTATGGAGTAGTGTCACAGGGAAAGACTTATTTGTATGAATGGGTCTTGGGATGTCAGTTCAGTGGGTTGCGTTGGCTTTGGTTCTAAGTGGATGCAATAGTGCAGTCTCCATGTAGTTTCTTCAGCATTTGCAAGTTTCTCAGTGGCCTGGGCTTAGAGAGTTTGTGGCATCAGTGGTGCAGTTTTGCCAGGGTTGGGCTCACCAGGCTGTTTCTCAGATCAGGGACAGACAGGCACATACACACAGTGGGTTGGCCAACCTGGGGTCTGGCTTGCTGGGTTTGGGGCCATGGGCTGTTAATGCAGCCGGGAGCATGATCACACAGTTGTTGTCTGTGAGTAGCAGCCTACAGAAATGTTTCTTAGGCCTGGTGTTTCTCAGAGTTATGCACCAGGGATGTGGGTGCACAGCTGCTTGGGTGCGGGTGATCTGTGGGCATGTTTACGGGGGGTGGCCCACAGAGCCATTTCTCAAATCTGGAACACTAGTGCAAGTCTGCTTGGCTGACTCAGGGATATGCCCACTGGGGACAGCCTGTGGGCTGTTTCTGAGGCCTGATATGTGGATACAGGGCTGCTTGGCAGCCTGGGGCATGTCCACCTGGGGGACTTATGGGGCTGTTTCTCTGGTCCAGGATAGGGGTTCTTGCCTGTTTGGCTGGCCTGAGGGCATGCCTGTCAGAAGCAACCTGCAGGACTGTGTCTCGGGCCCTGATTTTGGGTGCAGGGTCATTGGGCAGGCCAGGAACATATCTGTAGGGGATGGAGGCACTGTGGAATTGTTTCTTCATGTCCTAAGCACAGGCACACAGCCGTTCTGCTTGCCCAGGGGTATATCAGTTGTTTAGAGGTTCAGGGGTCTCTCTCACTTGAGGGTATGTATGCAGCAGTTTGGCTGGCTCAAGGGTGGGTTTTCCATGGATAAGACTGTCATACTTTCCCTCTGGCTAGAAGTGCAGCAGTGAGGGTTGGTTTCCCTGCTATGTGAGACCAAAGCCACAGCAGATCCTGGCCCAGGTTCTGCACAGGTGGTGTTGTGGTGTTCAGCCGCCACTGTGGGCTTCGTAGAATGGAGTTGGAGCCTTAGGGCTGGAGAGATGCAGTGGCTAGTGGCCCCACAGAGCAGGTTACTCTCCAGAGGTGGCTCTGATCTCAAGCAGCAGCTTGGCTCACAGGTGGTGATTGGGGAGTAGGAAGTGCATACCTTGTGCTCTTAACCTGGGGCAATGTAGCTGTGTGAATTTCTAGCAACTCCCAAAACTAGGCTCAGGGCTTGTGAGGACTGTGGGATTCTCCTGTTGTAAGGACTGTAGGTGTTTTTGGTAGCAATGGGGGCTGGTGGGGCTCTTCTACTTACCTTTTCCCTGCAATGGGAAGTCTCCCCTGACTCTGGGCAGATCTAGGCCACATGGGTGATATAGGTGCCTTCACACTGTCCTCCTGGACTTTCCATCACCACAGACATGTCTCTGTTCCCCAGCTGTCCTCCAGTGACCTTCCTTTGACACTGCAGTCACATCTTAGCAGTTTATTCATTGCTCTGGTCCTTTCTTGTGGGGGAAGGATGAATGCCAGGGGTCTCTAGTCAGCAATCTTGCTGACATTCACTCTCTGAGAATTTTTCTATGCTACCCCTTAATTGCTTTTTAAAATATTAAAAATTATAAGAATAACTTTAATTGTTAGGATGAAAAAGGCTCAGCAGGTACTGTTTCATTAGTCTCACTGTTATGATCACTATTAGAAATGATGAAAAAATGAATCCCTAAATAGCAAAAATCACGGAATTTTAAAGATATAAAAGATCTTGAGAATTAACAAATCTCAAATTAGTCAAGGTCTCACCCCCCCCTTCTCAGCTCCCTACGCCATTTATCAGCTGACTCTACTGGAAAGAAATAAATAGATGAAGAAAAACAAAACAAAACAAATTTTGGTTACAAGTAATCCTCTTAAGCCCAATTTAATAAAGCATGGATTTCTTTTTTATTGCCTATTTGCATCAGGAACATAATTACTAGCTAGAGTCTAATTTGAGAATGTTAATTATGAATGAAAGATGTAATATTTTAAGAACAGAATGGAATTCACTACTGCTGTATTGCAGAGACATTAGTAAGATTTAATCATGCTAGTGAGGTTGAAAAATAAGTTATATATATTATTTTTCTTTTCCAAAACCACAGATTTCAGTGACACTTTATAACTGTGTACTTTGGAACACTGATAAAAAATTAAGCTGGGTGCAACAGCTCATGCCTGTAAATCCCAATACTTTGAGAGGCCCAGGCAGGAGGATCGCTTGGGCTCAGGAGCTCAAGACAACCCCGGGCAATATGGCAAGACCCTATCCCTACAAAAAAGAAAAAATTTTCTGGGCATGGTAGTGAACACCTGAGGTCCCAGTTACTCAGGAGGCTGAGGCAAGGGGATTGCTTGAGCTGGGAGGTCAAGGCTGCAAAGAGCCATGGTAGAGCCACTGCACTCTAGCCTCGCTAACAGAGGGAGACCTCGTCTCAGGGGAAAAAAAAAAAGTAAACAATGATCTTATTGAATATTCTGCCCTCATATTTACTAGTCTTTAAAATTTAAATTGAGCATCTTAAATCTAGATGAGTGAAAAATGTTGGAGACTTAAACTTATCTATACTGTCACTTTAGGTCCTTTAGAAATGAAGAATTTACTTTATAAAGTATTTATATTTTTTCTCATATCTTGACAGTAGTCCTACCATGGCTCTTTCCTTTGTTTTAAAGAGGATAGTGGCAGGCTTTATTTTAATTTGCATCTATTCTTCAAAGTACATTTACTTGATATTTCTCAGTCTCTTGAAAATTTTTATCATTAAGCTTAACCTTCATTTAAGTCACCAGATCTATTTGATAAAGACTATATGAATATTTATTTGCGAACGGTATAGAAAATTACTGTTTTAACATTTACTTTCTGAAAGATCCATTGTAGAACTTGAACTGGGTGTATTTGCCAGACCCCTTAAAATGGATCACAATTATGTCTTTGCATGTTTATTTTATAGGATAATAGCTAAGACAATTTTTCTTCCTAAACTATTTGTTTTATTCAATATTTCCAAAATATTTATTGAAAATGTATCAAGAAATAAGAATTTGGTGAAAATTATGTGACTTAAGTTTATGTTTTAGTATGCCAATGAGGTTAAGGAAATAAGTATTTTAATTATTATCAATTTTAAAAATTAGGAGCACAGAAAATAAGCTTCTTTATCCAAAGACATTTCTTAAAGTGAAATCTTCTAAAAAACTGCTAGCCTCCTCTTTTATCCAACAAACCATAAGAAATGTTATTAAATGTAAATAAGGTACATTATTTGCCTGCAAGATTCCCAAGCGTGGCCACCCCTAGTAAGGCCACAGACTTGGTGGTAAAGAAGTTACCATTAGTTGGTGATTTCTCCTAACCATCCATTTCAGAATTTATCCCCAGGTCTCTTTGAAACCCTATATTCCCAACATAATTGACCTTATTTACACGGCTCAGCAGCAGCAGCTAACTTCTCTCAGCCTGTTAAGGGAAGGACAAGGAGGCAGCAGTGTTGGGGATGCCAGCAGCCTATGGAGTGACTGGAATAGACATAATAAGAATAGACTACATATTATTACGTACAATAAATTTTTACGGCTTTTACAGATTGAATAGCCCATATGTTACAGAAATTTAGGTAATTTTAGTCTCATATGTTCTATAATCAGCAATGGCCTAGGCTTGCTAAACATGTTTCATTACCACCCACAAAGCATTTACAGAATGACTGGTTATTTTATATCTAGTAAATCTTGTCTAAATATTTGTGGTTATGCTGGCAAATTTTTGAAATGTGCTATTTATTTTTACAGGAGCTTGAGAACTGAATCAAACACTTCAGGTATGGAACAAATGCCACTACATATTTTATTGTGATCCCTGGTATCCAGTAGTCATCTCTGGTTCCTCCAAGAGTAGGGTGGTTAAGAGCAAAGGAATTCAGCTAGACTTTTTGATGCCTTTCCTTTCTTCACGATGCTCCATTCTGAGAATCCTACACTGAAGAAACTCTTTCTCAAAGCTGATCCTCAGGCTATCTTCCAAGTGGAAAACATTATGGTACTTTACTACTTCACTTTTCTTTTTCTGCACTGGTTTAGTTTCCCAGTTCCCTGGATCTAAATCATCAGGCATAAACCACGCCAAGCCTAGTTCTGCAGACAGCATGCAAACTACAGCAATCATAGGACCTGTCATCCTTGCTGATCTGTAACGGGAATGGTCCACAACTAAATTTTTGGTAAATGTAAAATTATCCAGCTCCTCTTTTTTCCTCCTACATCTTTAGCCTTTCCCAGGTGATACTATTTAATGTTTTTGTTTGTTTGTTGTTTTTTTGTGAGACGTAGTCTTGCTCTGTCACCCAGGCTGGAGTGCAGTGGTGTGATCTTTGCTCACTGCAACCACTCTGCCTTTCGGGTTCAAGTGATTCTCCTGCCTCAGCCTCCTGAGTAGCTGGGATTACAGGCATTCGCCACCACGCCTGACTAAATTTTGTATTTTTCACTATGTTGGCCAGGCTGTTCTCAAACTCCTGATGTCCAGTGATCTGCCCGCCTGGGCCTCCCAAAGTGCTGGGATTATATGAGTGAGCCACCACTCTGGGCCTATTTAATGTTTGGGTTTTATTTGGCGGTGGGGAGTGATGTTTTTTCTTTATATATTGCCATGTTCTAAGAATCTTTAGCCTGTAATGAACTTTTAATGTGGAGGTTGTCTTATAGGCACCTCTTATAGTTTGTCTTATAGGCAAATCTCTCTCTTTGCTGAGTGCTAAAACAGCTCTAAGTTACTTTCAAACCTGGGAGACAGACCAAGCCTCAGCTTCAGTCATGCACATAAAAGAACACTATGGAAGGAACATTTAACTTGGCATAAGTGAAGAAAAAAAAATACTACTTCAAAAAGCAAGAATACTTGAAGGCAGTTTTAGTCACACGTACAAGAGTCAGTCCCACAAAAAAAAGCAAATTATTATAGGATAGGATTTTACACAAATGGGACTCGTCTTTGGACCTTCCCATTGGGCTTTTTTTTTTTTTTTTTTTTTTT